CTGATGATGGAATGAAGAGATTATAATTTTCAGGTAGACAGTCGTTGCTCTCTCATCTTCAACTTTTTTTTTGCTGTTGTGCGAACATCTGATCAACCAGATGATTTGTGAGATGTGAAAAGAATTAAATAAAAAATGATCTCAATATTTTAAATTAGGAATGAAAGGAAAAAACACAATAATGAATCAGGATGGGTGAATTAGATAAAATATCCGGCAACGAATAATGAACGCCAATTATTGATCAATTTATTTCAATTTTTGTTCTTTGACTGAATAACGAAGAATCCTTTGTGGATCGTGTTGCGGTCAAAACTCTTTATTTACTTGCTTAGTGAAAAAATTTGAACAAATGTGATGAAATATTAGGAGCCAGTGTGAAATAATCGATAAGAGAATCTGCTTCAAATTTGGTTAATGGATTGCAAATGTTACACAAAAGTGGATCAATTTGTTACTTTAGAATGTTCTTGAATGCTTGAGTTTGAATTTTAAGGTGTCTGTTGAGTTGGGGGGAGGGAATTACAACAAATGATTAGAATTTAGGTTATGAAGGAGTAAAAAGCGTATTTGTAAAGTTCTGAAGACGCAAATTAACTTGAATTTGTAAGGATCTGAAGATGCAAAGAAGAAATTGTAAGATTCTGAAGATAAAAAAGTAGAATTTGTACGGCTTTGAATATGCAAAAGTAGAATTTGTACGGATTTGAAGATGCAAGTGTAGAATTTGTACGGTTTTGAAGATGCAAAAACTTGAATTTGTAAGGTTCTAAAGATGCAAAGAAAAAATTGTGAGGTTTTAAAGATGCAAAAGAAGGAATTGTAAGGTTTTGACGATGCGAAAGTAGAATTTGAGCTGCTTTGAAGATGCAAAAGTAGAATTTGTACGGTTTTGAAGATGCAAAAACTTGGTTTTGTAAGGTTCTAAAGATGCAAATAAGAACTTGTGAGGTTTTAAAGATGCAAAAGAAGGAATTGTAAGGTTGTGGCGATGCGAAAGTAGAATTTGTAACGCTTTGATTACGCAACACAAGCATTTATTATAAAAACTTAATTAAACCGTAAAGATTATTCACAAAAGATCTCGAAAAAAGTTTAAACTAAGAATCAATCACATCCAAAAACCAAAAAAAAACAACCAACCAAATCCAACTACACATGTCAAATTTTATCGAATCAAATAAATCAACAAACATTTCAAAGAAAGTCCAAGTTAATGACATTGAAATGGAAGTGAGAAATGAATAACAGCAGAAACTAACCTATCCATACACAGTCATTGTCTAGACTATTCGTCATAGATATTTCAAAAATGATACATGGATGCTTTATGAGGTCAAAATCTACGTCATCAATTTGTCATCATCACTGGGAACTTTCTTGGAAGATTCTCAATGCCTATCGATTGCATTCCGATCGCACACTTAATAATTTAATTCTCGATATTATGTGGAATGAATGAAACATGCAAATGAGGAAGAAGAAATAAGAAGAAACGAAACAAACAAATGTACAGCTTCGGTGATCATTTGAGTCAAGGCTGCTCAAGGTTGGGGAAATCGTGACATTTTTATTAGCTTTATTATTTATATTTTTATACGTTTATAGTTACACGGTTTAATCTTATCAATTTTAATTATTTTTACACACATTTCTTTCCCAACTCTTCTAAATGTGAATCTATGGGCAGAAAAAAGAGCTCTTAATGACCTAAACCTTGTTAATTAAGTCTCATTAATATGGAATTATGCATTGCAATACCAAATTTTATGAGCTGTTAAATTATTCCTTACACTCGCGGCTTACTTGAACTTCAACACTTCAAAAATGTCAATATCAGACATATTTTGCTCAATTTTATGAGTACTGCTGATATGAAGCTTCCGAAAAAGGGTTTTGAGAGATTGTAGCTGTAAAGGTTAATGGATATTAATCATTTCAGTGGTTTAGATAATGCTTTTAAGGGACTGAAATTAAGAAATCATAAAATTAAGAAATTTACCAAGAGTGTGGAACTGAAAGATCATTTTTGACGATTTTTGTTTACATTTTACCAGTTTTGATTCGTTTTAAATCAAATTTGATTTTTTTGCTAATTTTGCTCATTTTACTAATTTTGCTCATTTTGCTTATTTTGCTCATTTTGCTAATTTTGCTAATTTTGCTAATTTTACTCATTTTGCTCATATTGCTCATTTTACTCATTTTGCTCATTTTACTAATTTTGCTCATTTTGCTCATTATACTCATTTTGCTCATTTTACTAATTTTGCTCATTTTGCTCATTATGCTCATTTTGCTTATTTTGCTTATTTTGCTCATTTTACTTATTTTGCTTTTTTTGCTTATTTTGCTTATTTTGCTCATTTTGCTCATTTTGCTTATTTTACTTATTTTGCTCATATTGTTCATTTTGCTCATTTTATCATTTTTCAATCAATTTAAAACATTATTGATTCTTTTTTCAAGGTTCAAACTTGAAATTGAGTTGAAAATTCCAAATATTCAAAACTATATGCACAAAAATTCTCAACTTTTATTTAAAATCATACTTTTTATGATATGAGATAACCTCAAAAATGACAATGCATATATTTATAATTCAATTTAAACCTTCATAAACATATAACAATCCAATAAAAAAAAAACATGTGAGCATAAACAAACTTATAAGAGATCAAAGATTGCATGAACTTTGTGCTTTCATAAAGCTTGACATAGACCTTTATGTCCATTTTTGAACTTCACTGTAATCTCATTCATCTTACTTAATTCCATTAATAATAAAAATATGATTATTGCAGATCAATTCTAGACATTTTACAAGACAGAATTGAATCGCATTAATTGAGATATTTTATTAAATTGCATGTTGTTAAGCTGCCAACAAGTCATAGTACTTTAGTTTTTAAATCCAATTAAATGTTGTTGGAGTTTTAAAAATTTAATGGATCAATGAACAGGACATTAAGGATTTTGAATGCTAGTTAATATGTTGTTGTTGCAAATATTATGCAATAATTGGTTAAAGCTAATTTTTTTAAGGTTATGATGATTTCAAAGAAAAACTAGTCGAAACTGATTTGTTTTTTAACATTTTCTGACCATCAACGAACACCTCAAAGCGTGAATAGATTATTCTGAGAATTTAAAGCAGCTTCAAGTGCTAATCAATACTTTTTACTTAATTCCTCATTTCCTACTCATCAACAAACCTTGTAATGTTTTTATGAACTTATGGGAGTCGTTCGAAAATGATGTTTATTAGGTTTTAGACCCTCTAAACATCTCATTGACAGAAACCTAGTCCACCTTCTTGATAACTTCATTTTAAATGCCAGAAAACAATTATTCAGTTCAAAAAACAAACCTGCCGCTTGGAACGTCATTTTTGAATAACCCCCTTTAGAAATTTTGACAAATTAACAAATACTTTACAAAATTGTTAATTTGTATTGCGAAAATAATTTATTTTTGTCGGCTTTTTCACTTAAAAAACAATTAAAAATGGAATAAATTAAAACACAAAGTTTGCTTTCGTGTGTGCAGTTTTGTGGAACGTTTATCTTTTGGTGCCGTCTTTGATGTCGGTTGATTTATGAGTACTTATTTTAGAGTTTTATGGTTGAGGGAGTTATCGCCCACGTTGATGGAAGGAAGTGTGGGAAAATTTTATTTTGGGATTTTACTCATTAGACAGGTAACAAAATTATTCCTGGAAATTTAAGACATATCAAGCTTTATGTTTATCCTTAGCTTATCACACTTAATGATTACTTCCAATTAATCTTCAACTGCAATTAATCAAGAAAGTCTTTACCAATTTTTCATCTTCAAAGTAACTTTTATTATCAATTCTTTGAAAGGAAGGATAAAATGTGTCATTTAACAAAATTAATTTAGTCAGATTAATGTCACAGCAGCGATCCTTTCATTTTTTTCTTTCAAAAAAACATTTTCTGCTGTAAAAAAGCTTAAAATTATGAAATCGTTTGCATAATATAGTCGATTTTTACAATTTTGGTCTTATTTTACATGTTCTAGTTCCTCACACGAGTCAGATCTGGTTTCTCGTACACAAAATAATCTCGTAAAATATTCCAAGACGAAGCAATCAAGGAAAAAAAAATATCGGATACGTGCCAATTTGTAGTTAAGATTCTCGTTCAGCTGATCCATTTTGGCATTGAATAAGCTCATAAAAATAAAAACAGTTCTTTATGGGATGCTTCAAATATTTTTTAATATTATTTTATTAATTGTTCATATAAAAAGAACTACCTAAAATTTTTTTTTACAAAAAAATCATACATTTTTTACAATTTTATGCACAGTAGATTATTATGATGATTATTAACATTAATAACAATAATAAAAAATTTTGCTACCATTTCGTATAAAATACTGCTGAAACATGAAAACGTTTTATTTACATGGAATGAATAAAATGTTAAATTTAAGGTCTATTAAAGTGATATGATAGTAAATATTATTATTATTAAGAATCACATAAGGAAAGAAAGATGAGAAGTGGGTTCAAGATTGTTTCTGAGAAGCACATTGATGGCTTTGCAGGTGCTGCAATGATCTGATTGTAAATACTTTGAATCTAGATTTAAAAGTAAACCATGAAAAGCTAGTTTATTGAACTTTTGAATTTAATATAATTGAAAACTACTTAAAATGATGTAGTGTAAGGTATTTAAAAGGATGCAAAAAACTTTGAAAATATCTCAAAATGATGCAAAAACTTTGAAAACATCTCAAAATGATTCAAAAACATTGTAATGTTCTCAAAATGATGCAAAAAACATTATACGGTTCTCAAAATGATGCAAAAACATGGAAATGTTCTTAAAATGATGCAAACACATTGGAAGTTTTTCAAAAGGATGCAAAAAACATTGTAAGGTGTTTAAAAGGATGCAAAAAACTTGAAAATATCTCAAAATGATGCAAAAACATTGCAAGGTTCTCAAAATGATGCAAAAAACATTGTAGTCCTCTCAAATAATGCGAAGAGTTTTGTAGGGTACTCAAAACGATCCAAAAACATTGAAAATATCTACAGATTGATGCAAAAATATTGAGAGGTTCTCAAAATGATGCAAAATTGCAAAGTTCTGAACAAAAACTTTTCTAGTGAAAATCAATTTTTATTAATTTTTGTGCAGAAAATCAAGTAAATTACTAGCAAATAATCCTCAACACATCCCTAGACAGTTCCTCAGGTTAAAAACAAATGCAAATCCACAATGTGCAACTCAGAAAACCAATAAAAAATCTCCATGCAACTTTTTTAATTTTAAAATATTCAATTCAGTAGCCACAATAAAAAATTACACTATAGATAATAAGAAAGAAGTCACATGGAGCATGCAGATATAAATTTCGTCTCTTAACTGCTAATTGACTAGAAGAATAAAAAGTGGGAATTACATACGATACATATTCACGTGCTGAGCGTTGCCATATAATTTAAATTAATCACAAAAAAAGTTTAACTACATTTTTAAAAAGCAATTTGACGAAGTTATAGTTTTCATTATCCATGACGTCAACTGCTGTTGATGTCAGAACAGGGCTATAAGATACACTCCCATTCCTGCATCACGAATTTATTGATGAAATGCTGGCATTGCCTTAGCTCGACCTGTTAGAATTTAAACATGAAAATTAGCCACTAATTGGACTTGATTCTTAGGTTGTGTAACTTACGATCCATAAGGTAAAGCACGAAGAGGATGCCAATTGTAAAGAAAATAGTCATTGTCACAATAAGAATAGTAATTTGACGCCCATGACGGCAAAATGAGTTTTGTGCTTTCAAATTTGATGATCGTCCGCATCCATTGACGAGAGTAAAGTGTGTCGATGATGCAATTGATAGCTGATCGTGATCTTTACGCCTTAGTTGATAATTCTGACTACATGCTGTGTCTATATCATCATTGTTATTACCATTTGTTGTCTTATCATCAATTATCTTATTCATATCTATTGTCATATGATTGTTAGTTGCTGCTGATGACTGAAGTTTGTTATTCTCATTATCACATTCATTTTGGGGATTCATCCTTAATTTGTTTATTCTATCTTGATTGTTTGTCATTCGAGTAAATTTTTCTAGATTCTGAACACTAAGTAGCAACGAGGATGCGCTCTGTAGATGTTTACAAGAAGTTATAATCAGTATATAAAGTACATGACAAGGTCATATCAATGTGAGACTTACGTGTAGACTATTCGATGATGACCCTTGTGAAGATGAACGTGATGAACTGCCATGAACTCTCTCATCAGCAACTGCTGTTAATTCATCAATTTGACTTCCATTCATGATTACATTCTCTGAGAATTTCCTTCGACTGAACTTTTTATTTGGCTGCATTGTTGATGATAGTGATGAGACAGATGATGATGGCATGGAGTAAGGTCCTTCATCTCGTCTCTCATTGAATTTCTTTTTCGTTCCTTCACTTTCAATTGAGTAACTTTCACGTCTCATATTTCTTTTGTTAAGCTTCTGTAGCTGATTGGGTCTGTTAAGACTTCCTTGAATTGAATCAGTCGAACTGTAAATTGATCGAGAACCAGATGAGAGGGATGCTCGTGGTATTTGCCATCGGACGTGATTAGATACGTCGAGGTTTGTCGTGCTTCCTTTATGCATCTGGAAGTAGAGATTTAATTCAATTTATTTTGTTGATTTCTTTGAAAAAGCTAGTTTAAAGACCGAAGTGTTCAATGAATTTTATATTTATCGTTTTGCTCACAATTTTTAAAGCCAATTCAATTATTTAACAACTAAAAAGACTCAAATTCAACTCAAATTTCGATTCGAAACATTTGAAGTGGACAAACGAAAAGCACGTGTAAAATTGGAAAAAAATTATTAACTGAAATTGAGTCATTTCAATGAATTAAGACACAAAGTGCAATTTTTGACTGCCTCAACATTTTAAAGGTTAGAGAATTTTTTTCCTATATCCTGAAAATAAGAATTCAATCTTTAAAAGGGCGTCATCAATCTCAAACTTCAAATTTCAACAACACATGTAAGATAAATCAATGAACACTTCAAATAAAATCCGGCATAATTTACAAAATGTCACAATCTGTCTGGGACAATCATAAATTAAATTAATTTTATTTTTTCTCATACATTGTGCTTATGTTTCATTTATTTACGATTATTCTGGTCAAAAGCTTCTTTCATCCGGGTCAATCCCGGATTTATGAAATTTAATGAGAAAAAAAGGTCGATGACTAGAGCAATTTTTTTTCCTTGACATGGGGTGAAAGAGGTTCAGAAAGCAGAGAATTAAATTTCTTAGAGTCATTCATGGGATGCTTCATGGTCTCGAGGAACACAAGAGCTCTGTATTGACTTCATTTGGAGGTTATGTGAAGGAGAACCAATGTATTTCACACAGGATCCAAATAGCTGAGAGCTCATAGATTGAGTTGGTCGGATGTTTTTTTTAATTTTGAATGAAGATTTAGTCAAAAGCCTAGTAAAATATTACTAGGGTGAGAATCATTCGTAAATGACGTCCAATTTTTAGTGGAAAATTTTTTTTTTGTGAGAATGAGCTAAGACAAGATGAATTTAGACAATTGAGCCACCAACAATCGTCATAAAATCCCAAAACTTAATGTCCGTCATTTATGAACAAATCCCCTTAAGCCAAAATAATTTTATTCTGATAAAATCGAACTTTTGTCTCAAAATGCGTCCATATTCAGTCAGAATCTCGAATAATTCAATCCAAATATTTAACATCTCAACATGACCAATCCAACATATGCAAATACATAAATTTTTTGCACACACAAAAAAAAATCAAGTTTCGTACCAAACAGAATCCGCAGCTCTGCTATTTACAATGCCTCTTCAAATTAAACAATCAAAATTGTGTCATCAAACTCATTCTTTTGAATTCTCATTCTTAATAATCTGTAGCTTTAATAATTGAAAAGAAACTCTCTTACTCGAAATCCGGGAATGACCAGCCAAATAAGGCGACACTGTGGTTAGATGTAATAATGTGAAGAAGAACAAGGCACAAGAAGAAGATGAAAGAAAAATATTTCAGACACATTTTGTAGATGAATAAAAGCACGAGAGAATGCGATGAGAACCAGAATACTAATAATGTGTTATTAGAAGCTTTCGATGGATATCTTCTTATAAGTGCTATTAATACTCAAATGACAGTCAATGAACTTTAAGAATCTTGCCTTACAAATAGTTTGCACGCTCATAAAAGTATTACGATCACTGATTCTTAGCACATTTATGTATTGGATAAGGATGGTCTGTATGACTGTCTGTCTGTACGTTTGTTCATCTATCTGGTCCTTCATTATTAGGTTTTAAGAAACTTTATCTCGAACACTAAGCACTGAAAATGCGCTTTCATCAAAAACTAGCTACCACATCCATACTAGCTACTAATAAGTGCTCACAGGTGCTGTGTATTATGTTCAATTGTTATTCCAACTCTCTTAAAATTCTATTAATGCGGAACTCGAAATTGATTCTGTGATAAATTGAGAATATTTTCAAGATAAGATCAATCTCGTGAATAAAATATGAGAACTCAAGAACTAAAGGAAAAAGCAGGTGCCTCATTTGAAATTGAGATTTTATTCTTATTTTTTTTTACAAAAATCTTAGTGATGAAGTTGTGGGCGGATATTTTGGAAGATGATAATCTTATATTTTCATCAACAGACTTCTTTAATGGCTTTGAGCAATTGGGCTTGATTTATTGCAATTCTGACTACTTATGGAAAGTTTTTTAAGTGAGTTAATGAGTCTATTTGTGTCGCTTATTGAGGTAATTTTGATTTATTTTGGATTGAAGATGGATTTGGGAGTAGGTATGTGCTTGTAAGGCTGATTGGAATTGATTTAGGTACTTATTGAGAGTGTTATGGATGGTGTGCGTCTTAAAACTGGGATCTGATCATCATCTTCAATTTGAGCCTTTTATTGACACTGTCAGTCTGATTCCAGAGTTGGGAACTCACTTTACATCTAGTTCCACTGTTACATGGAGTAAAATCTTATAAATCCATCAAAATTAGAAGATTTGAGCCCAAAAGAGCCACAGATCTACCCCAATTCATCAAAGCTCTAAAGTTCAATCTTCCAACAGTTCCTTATCTCAAAATTAAACACTTGAATCCACAAAATAGATCAAAAAACACTTCCACCAAAAAATGCCATAAAATCTCGAATAACCATCAAACTTTAGTTCCATATAAGATTTCTAATTGTCTGCAAGAACCATTTCAATGGAATATTTTTTTGCCAAATTGCGGTCAAGAAACTACAAGGTCACTTCACGTGCAGAACATGTGATTATATATTTTGAACAAAATTACTAAATTGAATCTTTAGTTCGTTGGAGGTAGTCATAGTTAGAAGGAAGTAGATGCATGATTGTCATAATGACTGAGAAGCTGTTAGGAATTGATTGATTTAGAACTTATTAAGGAGCCGTTCTGTGGTCAAAATTGAGGGTTTCAAGGATGATTAAGTTAGACTAACCAAACTGTGTGCCGCGGTACACTGGTGTGCCGTAGAATTTTTTTGTAAATGACGAGAACCGCATGCTGTGTGCGACTTTGATAATGGGTTACACCTAAGGTATGCCGTGGCTCCAAAAAGGTTTGACAACACTGCTTTATAGCAATAAATTCAAACATTAATCCGTAAAGGAAGTCACAATGGTACTTTCATCAACATATCGACTACTATTAACACCATTAATTTCGATTAAAACTTAATTCCTTAATAAACACATTGAAGACGTTAAAAAAATAAAGAAAGTACTCAAAACGCCCTTCGCGCAGCATATCAAAACATCATGACGATAAAAAATTCCGAAAAAATCAAGAAATTTTCAAGGAAATTTTTCGAGAGACTTTGTCAAGGTCGGTCATCTGCGTAAAAAATACCAGAAAAAAAATTCCTTGATACTGTCTACTATATTCGGAATATACGAGATTCCGTTTTATTTCATTTAAATAATTTTAATGAGACTAGCAGATGCTGAATTTTATATCACTGTTCCTCAAGCTGTAGCTCATTAATCCTCCAATTATGGAGTCAATTAATCCTTTGACTTGTTGTTCAAAATAATTCTTCAAAAAATATGTAAAACCAGTCCATCCGCTTCGTGTATTTTGGGGATTTTCACTACGTAGCTACGACATAATAGATGCAGATCATTTTTTGACAAATTAAAGCTGCAGACTTGTTTGAAACAAAATTATAAGTAGTAAGAATTGAATCGAGTTTGGGGTATGGAAGCGCAGTTTTAATAACTTGGAATCAGACAATTGTAGATACGTTAGATATCTATTGATGCTAATCGCACTCCTCCTCCCACGTTAGCTAAGATTCGAACCCATTCCTTAACAGGGAGATTTATTCGCAGCCAGCCAGCCAGACAGACACATTCAACATAAACTCCATCATTAATTGCACTAAAATTTTAATGAATAATCAAGACATTGAACCTGAATGTCCGTATTGTGGCTATAAAATGCGCGAAACATTAAACTTGAAATTGAACAGTCTTAAGTTACAAATTATGCATATGTACATATATATTTTCCGGATCAGGAACTCTAGTCATAAGACAATTATAGACATATCATGTACGAGAAAAAATGACGAAAGAATTTAATGCACGGGCAGATATGAAACCTTCGCCTTTGTGACGCAATTAGAGCTTAAAGCATGTTTTACTTACTTTGTTTTTATTTTGATGAATATTTTTTATTGCAATTTTAGATTATTTTTTTTGCAGATGGTTCTTTAATTTTGATGGTGTTTGTAGATTCTTTGTTGGCTGTAGATGCTTTTTTAATGAGCTAAAGCGGTTTTGTCTGATGTGTTTGAGTTGATGGGCCAGTTTACGATATTAATATGAACTTAATTAACACATTTGTTGATGTTTCTTTTGTGAATGAACTTTGTTTTTAGATAATTTGTGGATTTTTTTTGAGATTTTGAAGTCAGAATTAGTTGAAAGTTGCACTTTTGAGGATTTTAATGTTTTAAAAGTTTTTAAAGTTTTTTGCTCAAAATTTTAAGATTTTTAATTTATTTCAATTTTTTTCAAAAGTTTTAAAACTTTTTAAATTTCTTAAAGTTTTGTCAAATTTTTTCGGTAGCTCTCACAACTTTCAATATCACAAAATCGCACTTTTGTCTCAAAATTATAGTTTTTGTAAACTCAAAATACTTCACTACTCATTAAATTCGGTAACTAGAGTTCAAATTTGCTAGAAAATCTTCTCAGGTGGCAAAATATGTGTTCTGCTTCGAGACAATCTCTTTCTATTTGAATATTTCTTTCTATACATAGAAGAATCTGGTCCAATACTTCGTTTACAAGTAGATTTTTTTATGGATGATAGTTTAAGTAACTTTGTTTTTAATTGTCTTTAGAATTTGTCGAAATTTTGGTTTCTTGAATACTTTTGGGAGGTTGTTCTTTAATTTTAAACTTCAAGAACTTTGCTTAATTGTTTAGAATATTTTTAAATTCAATTTTTTTTGGCTAGAAAAGCTTCCAATTATTACTTTTTCAAAGTTTTGTTTCTGCTTTTCTTAACCTTTTTAAAGATTTAATTTAATTCTTTCTTTTGTTTGTTGTCTTCAATCTTTAGGAAGCTTCTAAAGTTCTTCTAAGTTTTAATTATTCAAGAATTAAAGATTCTTTGCACCAGAAAATTGTTTTAAAAGCTTCGTCAGAAATTTCTTGTTTTTCAAGAATATTTCTAATCCAGAATTCTTCTTTCACTGTCTAGAATTCTCGTTTTACTTTCATAATCTTCTGTTTATCTTTAATAATATTTCTTGTTGCTCCAGAAAACTTCTTTAAGTCTTTAAACTTGATCCAGAATTTAATTCACTCTCCAAAGAACTTATAATGTCTTCCAAAAATCAATTCTCCTAGTCTCAATCAGCTAATTCTTCAACTTTGATAATCCTTCAGTTCCTGACAAATTTGTGTATTTATCAATCTTTCCACTAATTTTGGGTTAACTGAGAGTTGAGTGAGCCAACCAATCACAATTTAAAGTCGTCAATTCTCAAAAATAACTCACTTAACCAAAAATTCTTTTAATTATGTTCTGCCACTGAGTTTTCTAGATTCTTAAATGTCACTTGATTTTATTTAGATCAAAACTAGGAAATTCATCAAACTGCTTATTAGTAGTTGTTAAATCCCACTTTGTTGTCAAGTTTTATTTATTTATCATACGCACAATCTTCACGTTTTTATCTCTTGTCAGTAAACAAAGAAAAAAAAAAATTAAGTCAAAAATGTAGTTTTATAAAAATTAAAAGAATTTATTTTTCTATAAGCGCGAAACTGAGCAGGAGAAAAAAATAAGATTAAGACACAAGTATGCACACTCCAATCGTCAAAGGCTGTGCGAATACTGAACTCAAAGATCTTTGCGAGCCGGCAATTTATCATTTTGTTGAGCAAGAGAGCAAGAGAAGATTGAGCAAAGAGACTGAGAATATCTGAGAAATAGACATATGCAATGATCATATGGACAACAGCTGATCTCAGTTTTTGAGAGAAATAAACAAAATTTATCTTGTGAGAAAAATTGTCTACGTGAGTAATTGAATCCTATAAGGTAAGCTATTGTATTGAAATTCTTTATTATTAGCAATTCAAATATTTATCGATCAATTGCTTTTGATGCTGTGATCAGTTTATTAAGAATTCTATTGAGTCATGAGTTAAATAATAAGACAGATTCATGGATTAAGCATGTGAAGTACTCTAAAATATTTTTGAGATAAGCAATTGGAATGCTTTTGAGCAATTTACTATGTCGTCATTATTTTTGAAGAAGCTTGTGTAGCTTGATGTTGAAAATGACGGAAAGAAATCTGATCTGAAGGATCTCAAAATTGATTTTGAGGAATTGACTCAGGAATGTAGAAACTATACTAGTCTCAATTATTAGTGACACGTATAAAAGCAATATGAACATGCAAGGCTGGGAATACTTAGGTTATAGCAAATTTATAATGCTAAAGCTACTGATTCCGATTATAATCATTTGAATAATTTTGATTCTGTACGTGCCATTTATCTTTTGTTCCTTAGTTTTCACATTAATTTTAAGGATTTCATTTGAAATTCGTTTTAAAATTGATTTAAAAAAATCAAAACAAAAAATGGCGGGAAAAATAAATTTCTTTGTTTACATTCTCCATCTGCAATGTTTACAATCGAAATTTGACTTAATAAGTCAATAGATTACAAAAAAAAAGATAGAAAACAATAATAAAGGAGTAAGCAAACAATTCTAAGAAATACTATTGGTAAAAATAAGCCTAACAAGCAAAAAATAAAGAAAAATCACATTTTTTAACAATATTTGTAAACAAACTCGTAAAAATTCAAATTTCTCTAAAAATAAGAGTCAACAATCCTATTTATATTCGTTGATGTCAATCTAATAACGATTATTACAAATGACATAACATCATCAATATTAGAATACTTGACATTTATCCATGGATAATAAGATTTGACCTTATCATCCAGACAAAACTCTATTTATATCTCAGAATCTCAAATTTCAATACATTGTCAAATTTAATTTACTTAATGACACAACAAACACAAAAAAAGCAAAATAAATAAAAACCTTTCAATCACGCTTCAAAATGAGAATCCACATGTTCTTAACAAGTTTGTTTATTACTTCTATTTTCAAATGTCTCGTCGAACTCTAAGCATATTTTTTTTTCTGCTTCTACATCCATTGAAGTTTTTCCCATTATTTCTTCACTTTTTGACATTGATCCTATTCACCGTTAGAATCTCAATGAAAATATAAGTAAGGAGTATGATCATATGAAGTTGTTTTATGGGTTTTTTGTGATTTACATGAATTAAAGTCAATTGCACGTATTGGTAAATATTCTTAAGATGAGAGATAACATAATTTTAGGGGAAATTTTGTCTTGATTCACAAGAATTTCCGGAGTATTAAAAAGAATTTTTATAGTGCATGGCTCTTGTTTGGTGTCATGATTCATAGAATTGGGGATTTACATATGCATGCGTGTGTGTATTCGGTGAATTTTTTCAATATTTAATAGAATGATGAACAAAAATGTTTATTTCAATTTTTAATGACTTTTACCATTTATGGTGAAATTGGAAGCTGTTGTTGGGTCGTTCATAAATGATCATCAATTCTTATGTCATCAAATATTCAATTCAAAAGTATCAGGAGTTACAAAATAAAGCCACAGCATTAAAATCAATTAAGATTGGTGATCTATGCAGTATTGATACCTAGAAAGATTCAAACAAGTTTGCTTTGAGCAAGGAGTTTGGATTTATCAAAAAAAAAGAAGTCCTGAAAAATCTCGGAACTTCCAGCAGTTCTCAACATAATGTTCTGAAAATTCCAATGGATCCTGATGGATCCAATGGATTTTTTGAAAAGGACAGTCTTTCCAATAGAATTATCAAATCATTGATCTATGCAAATTTTCAATATGCCATTAAAAATAACGGCTTCTTTTTGGAATTGATTACAAAAATGGTTTTTATAGGATTCAGTTAAAACTAGACATAAGTTTCCCATTATAATAAGATCCAGTATTCATGTAGACCAGTGATGGCCAACCTATATACCGCGGCAAACTAATATCTCGCCAAAAAATCTCACAAACCGTATTTTGTGTGCTATTTTGGTCTTGGTTAAACCTCAGGGTGTCTTTGGCTCAAAAAAGGTTGAACACCACTACATTGTAGACAAATTAATCCAACGAAAGGAAAGTCATTGAAGATCCAAACCTTTAAATGAATCTTAAACAATAAGTTTCAGTGAAGATACAGACCAACTTAATTCAATTAAATAAGATCCACAAAACATCTAGTCCCAGCAACTTATCAGCATCATTAAAGCTAATTCTCACTTTACAACTAATTTCACCATAACTTGAAATTTCAATTTCATCATTTTTGATTCACAGAATCAATGTTAACCTTCTCCAATGCGTCTTAATTATAAAAAGACTCAAAACAATTCTCAGAAAGACTTCTTTCAAACAATTTTAAATCAATAAATCAGTAAAATTTAATTACTCGGTAAATCAAAAATCGATCAAAATATTTACATATTAACAGCAGTCTCTAAAAGATGTTTGAAATTAAACAATCCAACAATTTGTGATGGGTAATGAACTTGAAAACAAAAATCGTGGATTGTTAAAATGACTAGGAAAGAAAAAATAATTGACAGATTCGTAACGGTAATGTTCGCTGCAGGAATCGGTAGTAAGTTTACATAGTTTTGCAAATTTGTAGCTGAATGTTAAATGTAAGCAAGGATCTTCCATGTTTTTAATTTGAATATTGTTTAAAAAAAATTAAGTTTTAAAATTTTAATCCAGACTGTTCTAGATGATTTTTTTTTATTACACGCTTTTATTTAACTCACACTGTTTGTATGTTTCATGCGTCAAATTTTGTAATCGTTATTTCGATCACTTCTACTACTCCAATCGAGCTCAAATTTTTTACGCACACTTATTCTCGGTGACAATTCAATATTTTAACACTTTAAAACCACAAAAATGCTTAATTATAGTACAGTATAAGTAAAACATTTTTTATATGGGAAAAAATCCAATGTCAATGACATATAATTTAGATCTGTTTAAAATATTATACTTGAAATGCTCAAGTCATTTACATGATTCATTATAGTTTTATTAATATTATTAATTATTAATTATACTTTAAATTTGAGCAGCTAAAGATTTTCTGGGAGGATGAAAAAATTGACAAGTGATTTTTTCATGAATATTCGTAAGTGAAAATTTGAATTTTTAAAAAAACCGTTAAGCATAAGTCAGTAACGTTTTAATACAAAATAACTATTGATATACAAATATGCATTTAGCACACATCGTTTGAGCATAATATATATGTTTTTAATGTATTAGATTGATTCTTAACAATTCACCAACATTTA